GGAAGGTGGGTCTCGCCTTCTTGATCCCGTCCGTTAGTGTTCGTTTACCTCTGTCAGCATGGTCAGCCCGTAAATAAGGTGCCGAGCCTCCCCAACCGTCCAAACCAACAATCAAAGGGGGTGTCTGGCGAACGCCTCCATTTCTCCCACATAACGAAATGCTCGACGACATATGGAAGCGGGGACGCAACTTCGTCCCCAGGCAAAGTTCCATCCCCAGGCCATGCCATCGCCATCCCTCGTTTTTCGAAGCACAGCGATGGCACAACCGTCGCATTGCCGTTCAGAGGGGAACCTCTGAACAAGCCAGTTGTTTGACAAAGAGGGGTTCGAATACCCCCCATTTTTCCCCACCCGAACACACCTTCGAAAAGCCCCTCGCGCATTACAGGGTGAGGGGGTTGTATTTGAAATGGGTGTTTTTTTTTTTTTTTTTTTTTTTTTTTTTTTTTTGCGATTGATACCCTGGTTCAGTTTTTTACCCTCGGTCTGGCACTGGTCAGTGGCGCGTAAAATTCGCGCCACTAGATGAGGAAGGTGGGGCTGGGGGTTCCATATGCGGTTGCGAAATTTCCTGTTTTGGGAATTGTAGCTTCGCGGACCGCATTACGCCCAGACCTCTTTGGCGGGTTTCGACCCCGGTTCCGGATGCGGTCACCATGCCGATGCCGCCAAAATGCGGCAGTTTTGAAAGTTGCTGGCGAACACCGCCAATATTGAGGGGGTGTGGGTTGCCGCACAAACCGGTGGATCCGTTAGAAGCGATCCCAAAGTCTTCAATAATACGTATACACCGTGTTTTCCTCTGAGTTCCTGCTCTTATTCATTCTTCTGTTTGGTTGGTCCTTGCTCAATTACACGGTTTCACTTAAAATTTGCAAAGCTCAAAGAGCAGTCAAACAATCAGCACACAAAACTCATTTCCTAGAGCAACCTAACACGTAATTTCACACATATATTCAACAGAACAACACTCAGATTCAACTGTACACAAGCTGCCTACTGTGGCAGTGGAAACCACTCCTCCAACGCCTTGCCGCAGCAGCACATACTATCCTATTCCACTCCGGTCGCTCAAGCCATAAGCACAGACCTCCAGTGTAAGCACACACTCTGCTCTGGGTACACTCATGGTATTCAGCCTTTTCCCTATCAGAGCAGGCTAACACCATCCCGGCATCACCTCCCTCCAACTCTCCTTTTCACCTGCTGTTCCTTCATCTTCCCCACAACCCACCGCCACGCCCCTCCTTCCTGCTCCTCTCTCCTCCCCTCCTTAGCCGACTCGAACATCCCCCGTCGTCGCCTCGCCACCATTCTACCCGCCCGGTGCGCCCGCACAAAGAGCTCATGCGCTGCTGCTGCATTCCCTAGCGCCTCCTCCACCTCTGCTGCATTCCCCAGCGCTGCTGCATTGCCCGGCTGGGCTGAGAGGGCCAGTGATAGGAGGGACCGGGCCTTGAGAAAGCCCCTGCTCCCGCTCCACCAAGCATGCATACCGGTATGATGGGGGACACAAGGCGGAGAGAAGCAGGGGGGGCAGGAGGTGTCAGAAGAGGAAGTGGGTGGAAACAAAGGAGGCAGTCGTAACGCATGGGAGGCACCAAACTGGGAGATTCAGTGGCTCACTGCCCTCACAGGAGCTGCAGCAGGGAAAGCGGCCTAGCAGCCTATGGAGCAGTACAGGACAGCAGTGGAGGGTGTGTACCTAGAGTGGAAACTGAGCCCGCGGAAACCTTAAGGCAGCGGTCAAACAGCCTAATCGCAGCATTAACATCATCGTCGGGACGAGTCAAGGACGGAGGGAGCCGCGCCTGTTGCGGCTGAGCTGGTGATTGTGGAGAAGGGTTTGCGTGGCGTGGGGGGGACCTCAACGGGGACCATAAGGGGAGGCTGCCGTTGCAAAGACCACCTTTTTCACGAAACTCAGAGCTTGTGTTTTTCATGTGAGCCCCCAAGCCTTCAGTTCACCCGCAGTTCCCTCACCTTCCCCGCCACCCACCGCGACACTGTCCCTTACCTCATCCCCGGTCTTTGCCTAGTCCGGCATGGTCATACTACGTGGTATGGGCCTTCCACTTGCCTGGTCTGGCCTGCTGTGGCCTGCTCAGGCCTGATCTGCCCTGGCTTGCTGTGGCCTGGTCAGCAAGCACATTAATGGTGAGTCAATCCATCTGTCAGCAGATACTTTGTATGATTATGGTGCTCTTTCCCTGGACCAATCTTATTGACCATTGGGTACTAGGTGGCTTATGGCAATAGCAGAGATGTGCTAACAGCGTTTTCAAATTAGCAATTACACATACAAGCACATAACCCATAGATATTCAATCTCCTAAGCACCCATCCACCCCATATATTATACATGGTCAAGACTCTATCAAGAAACCAAAGAAACTTTAGACAGCCACACATCACACGAAGAATCATTTTTTCTTGAGTACTTCTCCACACTGGCTTCAGAATCACAATTTGGAAGTCCGATCTTGCTGGCCTTCAAGGCACCATCACACTCGCTGAGTGGGGTAAGGGAGGAGAGTAAGGCAGTCTCAACAGAAGCACACTGCAGAGGTATGATAGTGTTCTACACGGCGCTTGATGGAACATCTGGCTTGTGACGAGCCTTCATGCGATAGTGACAAGCTAGATCACATGGCATGAGAAACCAGATACCTTGGAATGTGATTGCGACAGAGCGAAGCAAGGGAAGGATCCACATGACAGGCTGTCCACCATGCCTGTGACGTACCAGATATTGGAGACCACACTGTGCACGCTGTGTGTTAAGGTTGTTAGTGCACGTGGCTATTGCCAGCGCATTTCCCTTAAAGCGTGAGGGGCACCATGTCGCGCCCTTCAAATACACAGTCCTGCAGAAGGTGCCTGTTGGTCAAGGCGATGTGAGGCACGGGTTAGAGAAGCAGCAAAGCATGGGTAGTGAATCTCTAGGACTAGTTAGGTGAGACGCGGCAGCAAGGCAGGCTAACGCCTCACCATTCTGGATCCCACGGCAAAGTGATTTCGCTTGCAAAAGCAGAAGCATTGCGGAAGAATTAGCCTTCTGGAAAGCCGGATAGAATGCAATGAGGGAAGACGAGAGAGGGCCTAATCGTTCATTTGACGTCTGGATCGTGTTCTGGTAAATTGGGTCAGTCCCATGATACGTACTATCAGCCGTCGTCTGGAGCTTGCGGTGGCGCTGCTCGTGGGCCTTGTTGGGCTGCGTGATTCTCGCCACGTCTTCTGCTGCATCAACGCCTGTCGCCTCGCTCGTTGCTGGTAGGGTAGGGCAGGTTAAGGGGAGTGAGAGGAGCGAGGGGCAGAGAGGACGTAAGTGAAGGTCGGAGCGGTTGGCCTGCAGCGGAGGCGAAAGTGAAGGCGCAATCGTGAACGCGGCGCCAGGGATATGGCTTGGGTTTTGCGGAGGTTCGGGCCGTACCTTGGGCATATGAGACGCATGAGAGCACCAGGAATGCAGCGAGGACGAGCGCGAGGCCGACGGAGAGAGCGGAGCGAGCCATGGCGATGTAAGGTGTGATTGACAAGTTTTCAATGGGAGAGTGAGAACTTTGCGGTAAAGGTTGAAACGAGATTCGAGACTCTGATGGTTGCAGCATGTGTTCCTACTGGATATATAGCTCGAAAGGAAGAGCTCGACTGTATGGAGGGAAACCGCCGAGATGTGTTTGACTGTTTGCGTCACTCACGCTGCACTCGTGCCGGCGTGAAATCCGCGATACTTTTGTCTGCCCCAAACAAACTCTGGCATGACCGCTGAAGAAAACCAAGGTAGACGGTGTGAATTCTGGGGTTTCGGTACGATGCAATGTGGTTTATTACGATACCGTCAATAAAACTATGTCAATAATTCAACTCGATTGCTGTTTTCCTGAAAAAAAAGAACGCGGTAAAGGACAGACGACCAATGATCGAGGGCCATATGTAAATTTGCCACCGCACTGTGCCTACGCTTAAACTCTCTGCAGCCCACAGAGCCATCTCGAAACCCATTGAATAAACATGTCAAGTGAGAGCAATCGTGGTTCCCAACATTCAACGCGTCCTCTGGAGTCCTATTGGTCGCCATAGATGGCAGAGAAATTTGTTAAAACTTCACTACAAGGAAGTCAAAGTGGTTCCAAAGTGTAACGCGTCAGCTGGATTCCTATTGGTTGCCACAGAAGGCGGCGGGAATAAATAAACATTTACTACAATAAATTCTGAGGCTTTCACTTCTTGAATACCCGCAACAAAGAATGCTTCTCATGGGAAAATATATGGTTTCATGTCATCAATCATTTCACTTGGAGCACGACTCCTTCTGGTTATGCACAGTGATCATGGAATGTTCTGTTGTTGATTTTTTTTTTAAATCACTTTCTGAAAATGCGTATTGTGAAGCGCAGCTTACTGTAACGCTGTAAGGCTGTGGAAACTTAATATTTGCCGAGTTGTATACTTGTATCATTATAGTTGGACGAGAATGTTGTAATTACTCCAGCTGTACTAAAGCACGTTGCCTTGGCAAGAACAGAAAGCAAGCTTTCTCAATCCATACATATTCATGTTCCTTGTACTACCTGTACTCAATAAATTCACTAGGCATCAACATGCGATACAAGATTTGTACACCCAATATAAATCAATACAAAAGCACACCCAACCTTTAACTATGCACAAACTACTCAGTGCAGCAAAGACCACCTTGCAGATGTGTTGGCAGATCTGCATATGGTAACCCACTCTACTCCCTACACTTAAGCTACTGTATCAGCAACAACTCATTCCGTGAGCCAAATTGTTCTAAGCTTGAAAGGCACACCTACCCCATCGAAGTTACGAAGGTTAAACCAGTTTACGGGCTTATAATAATGAGCAGACACTCTCGCTGTCCCAGCCCTGTATAATCCCTCCTATCAAATTTCCCTATCTCTCCACTTCAACCGTCGCTCCCTCATCTTCCCCACCACCCACCGCGGCACCGCCACACTCCTCTGCTCCTATTGCCTCCCCTCCTTAGCCGACTCATACATCCCCCGTCTCCTTCTTGCCACCATTCTATCCGCCCGGTTAGCCTGCACAAAGAGCTCATGCGCAGAGGCTGCATTCCCCAGCGCCTCCTCCACCTGTGCTGCCTGCTGCAGCGATGCTGCGTTGCCCAGCTGGGCTGAGAGGGCTAGTGATAGGAGGGAACGGGCCTTGGCTAAGTTTCCCTGCTGCCGCTCCAAGCATGCGTATGCCTGCGAGACACGATGGTGAAGAGGGAGCGAGGAGAGTGGGGGGGGGGGCATGAGTGTTGTGAGGGGGTGATATATGCAAGTGGAGGGAGAAGGGGCATGGAACAACTTAAAGCCGCAATACGATCATACGACACTACAAAGCAGGCTGGCGGATTCCAACAAGGGAAGAAAAAGGTAGTTGCATGCGGGGTGATGTTAGAGGGGAGGGAGCATACCTGAAGAGTGGGGACTGAGTGGGGAGCAGCCTCCAGGCAGCGGTCAAACAGCTGCCTTGCAGCCTCAACTTCTCATGGTGCATGCTCCATCACACCCCACACCTGCAACGCCTGCACACACCCAGGCTGCACCTCCAAGCACTTCACAAACAGTCCCCTGGCTGTCTCTCTGCTCTCGGGTGTGGCTAGTCGGGCCTCCTGGCACGCCCATGCGTGCAGTGTGGGGATGGACCTGGGGTTGGCTGATAGAGCCGAGCGGAAGAGGGTTCGCATGCGGTCCACCTGGCCAGCCTTTGCTTCGAGGAGGGCCCATGCCTGCGGTGGAATGAGGGATAGGAGAGAGTGCATGGGTAGGGTGAGGAGGTGGTGGGTTGTTTTTGAGACGTATGAAAAACACCCTCACTTCACATGGCCCATGCCTGCAGTGGAATGAGGGATAGGAGGAAATGCATGGGTAGGGTGAGAGGTGGTAGGTTGTTTGCTCACATCTCCATGAAGTGAGGGTGTTTTTGAGACGTCTCAAAAAGAGGGCGCATGCCTGCGGTGGAATGAGGGATAGGAGAGAGTGCATGGGCGGGGTGAGGAGGTGGTGGGTTGTTTGATCACAACTCCATGAGAGGCGATTGCGATGCCACGCATTGAATTGCAGACAGCATACTAACAGGGAGAGCTCGAGAGCAGCGAAAGGAATCAACAAGGAAGAGAGAGTGAGAAGAGAGCAGCAGCAAGCGTATGAAGTTTTGCGCGAACAGTGATACAGTGAGTGAACCCACCTGCTAGGACGCAGCATCAAGAGGGGCAGCAGCAGTGGACTTCTTGAAATAGCACCGGGCGGCACTCAGGCTCTTCATGGAAGCTTCCAAGAGAGCGCGTGATAGCAGAACCACCGGGCTGCCCGGCTGAAGCTTCTTTGCCTGCTCCAGCAGGTTTCGGGCAGCTTGAAAGCTCCCTTTGCGCTTCTCAGCCATGGCCCAGGCGTGAAGGCCAATCCCAAGGCTCCCACTAGGAAACGTTCCCACTAGGGAACCTGCTCTATACCATGTGAAAGAACGAGGAGTGAATGAACTAGAAAGCAGGTGGGTACAAGTAGGAAAACATAAAAGAGTTGTACCCCATACTGTCTACCCCACTACAGCCTATACATACTATAGCATATGAGTTTGACAGCAATGTGATCACGCGCGATAGAAATCTGCTGTATTGTGACTGTTCGTGATACCCCTGTGACCAAACGTAATAAAACGGGCTAAATTGTGACTGCCCGTATAATTTTCCCTCTTCAAAACTCAAAATTTTGCGAACTGATGCACTAGATGTGGCAGTCTTACTGGTTAGCCGTTGGATTCTTTTTAAGGTGAGTTGTTAGAATGTTATGCTCTAGCCTGTAATGTGGTGCTCTATAGCGAGTACAACCCTTCTAGGGTTTCCTATTTGTATCCTCATTCTTGCTAGTGCAAGCCCTCTTTGCCTAAACTGTTCTTGCCTAGCTAGGGCTTTCCTAGCTATGGCTCCTAAGACTTCTACTCACTTTCACATGGAATCAGAGCTATATGCTCCTGGCCTGTGGGCCCCACCTAACTGCTTCCGCTGCTACTGCTACTCCCTGTCCGCAGCGCGCCCCGTGGTGCGCAGCGTTGAGTTTAGGGTTTTCATCCCAACGCGCGCTCGGAGTGTGCGGCGGTTTTCTGCCCGCCGTGCGCCCCGAGGCGCGCGGCGGTTCTCTGCCCGCCGTGGTCCCCGAGGCGCGCGGCGGGTTTCTACCCCGTCACGCCGCGCGTCGCTCCGGGGAGGCGCTGCAACGGGAGACGGGGACCCGCGCGTCGCCCCCCGTCGCCCGTCGTGGCCTGCGCCCGGCCCGTACGGTCTGCGCGCGGCCCGTACGGGCTGCGCCAGGCCCGCGCGCGGCTCGTACGGGCTGCGCCAGGCCCGCACGCGGCCCGTATGGGCTGCGCCAGGCCCGCGCGCGTCCCGTACGGGTGGCGCCAGGGCCGCGCGCTGCTCGGGCCGCCTGCGCGCGGTTCGGGAGGCTGTCCCAGGCCCATGGGCGGCCCGTTCCTCGCTGCCCCTGCCCTCCCCGCTGTCCCCCGTGCTTCTTATGGCGCCCCACCCCTCCTACTGCCCGTTCTCCTGGATTAGGATTTGGGGGTGGGGGGTCTTGGGGTGCAGCTTGTGTGTGCCGTTCCCTGCTCCTCCTCCTCCTCCGTCTCCCTGTGCTGCAGCTGCCGCTGAGGGGGGGTGGACCTGTTGGAGCCGTTGGAGCTGTACTAAGGGGGGGTGAAGGGGGAGTGGAGCTAGGGGTGTAGCAGCGGGTGTGTGTCAAGGGGGGTGGGACTGTTTGGGGAAGCTGAACGGAGGTTGCCGTCGTGTCGCCAGAAGCACCTGTAGTCCCGGGAGTTGCTCCGGTAGCCCAGCTGCAGCCACCTGTGCAAGTCGCCCGTGGGTCCGTTGCTCGTCTGCCGCTACTTTAGCCGCGGGGCCAGTTACTCCAGTAGTCCGGAGCGTTGTTCCGGTAGCCGCTGTGCCAGTGTGCCTCCTGTTGCCCGTGTGTTTGCAGCTTCAGCCGTCGCCTCCTATCACCTCTCCTCTCACTGTCCCTCCTCCTTCTCACTTGCCCGTTGTGACTACCACTAGCTTTGCTCATCATTGTGAACTTTAAACTTTTGCTTCTTGAACTTGTGCTCAGAATGTGTGGTGACATTGTGATCCACCCTGAGCTTGTTCTCCTTTGCTTGCTCTGCTGATTACACCCCACTTTGGCTATGGGGGTGTGTCAGAATGTTATGCTCTAGCCTATAGTGGGGTGCTCTATAGCGAGTACAACCCTTCTAGGGTTTCCTATTTGTATCCTCCGGTCGGTGTCTCCCACGAGCAACATAGCGTGCGAGAATGCTAAGAGGGTATGCAAGGTCAGGTCGTGTGCAGGTCATCAGGTACATGAGGCAGCCAACAAGCTCTGGATACGGGCCACTCAACTCTACGGACTCATCCGAAGGCAGAGCTGAGAGTGAGTGGCGAGTAGGCAGAGGAGTGGCCTGAGGCGAGGAGTACGTGAAGCCGAAGCACTGAAGGACCTGCTGCACCATGTGTGACTGAGTCAGGGTAATGGTGCGGCGTGCTCTGTCCCGGGTGATATGCAAGCCAAGGTAGCTGCGCAGTTCACCCAGGTCTGTGCACGTGTGTCTGCAGCTCGGACTTCATGTAAGCGAGTCCAGCAGTGTCACTTGTGGCAAAGACCAAGTCGTCGACGTACACGAGGATGTAGAACGGCGGCAAAGAGGTGTCGGTGCGCACAAACAGCGACGGGTCGGCAGTAGAAGGAGCAAACCCAAGAGCCGCAAGTGTAGTCCTTAGTGTGTCATGCCACTCACGTGGTGCCTGGCGGAGACCGTAGACTGGACGTTGGAGACTCCACTGAGTACCAGGAGGGAACGACCCAGTGAAGCCAGGTGGGCGGCGCAGCCAGATCTCCTCGTGCAGGCTGCCCTGCAAGAAAGCTGTGCTGAAGTCGAGAGAGTGCAGCTCGTAGTCACGGTGAGCAGCAACGTGCAGCAGTACCCGAAGAGTGGTCATCTTCGGGGTGGGGGAGAAGGTCTGAAAGTAGTCAACTCCCTGCCGCTGACTGAAGCCACGAGCCACGTAACGCGCCTTGAAAACAGGCGGAGAACCCGGCGGCCGCTTCACCCTGAAGATCCACATGCCATTGACGATGTTCGCCCCAGGAGGGGGAACAGCGTCAACGTAGGTGCCTGTGGACTTCCAGGAAGCCATCTCTGCATCCATAGCTGCCTGCCAATGAGAGGAGTAGGGACCCTCTATCGCCTCCGCGTAAGAGCGCGGAGTCGGGATCTCTAGTGCATCCGGGTCTCCCTCAGGGGTAAGCAGTACGGACACGAGATGAGGTGAAGCAGCTGCCACACACTAGAACTCCTCCTGCCTGTCCTCGAGGACGTCCGTGCCAAGGGCACACTCACCCCCGACGGACGGAGGACAGACAGACTCGGACTCAGCGACAAGACTAGCAGTCTAGTCTAGGTGACAGCGAGCAGCAAAGTCGACGAGCTCAGCAACTAGGGCAGACGCAGCAGTGGACTCGAAAGAAGGGTCAGTGACGAAAGTAGCCAGGAGACGCGTGACAGTAGGACTGGCAGCACGAAGAGAGTGCGACTCCGGGTCAGCAAGAGCATGAAGAGAGGACTCAGGAGGAGAAGGCAAAGGGGCACGCAGAGGAGCAATGGACGGACGCAGAGACATCCTGTACGTGCCAGGGACAGGAGGAGGACGCTGACGCGAACCACGACCACTAGTGCGAGCAGCACAGACAGGTGACGCAGGGCGAGATGCAGGCTCACAATGCTCAGCAAGACCTCCAGTAGGACCAGTGTAGGGAGAAGGAGCAGGCAAAGGGGAGGTAGGCTGCAACTGTAACTATGACTGGACAGGCTGTGGACACTCTAAAGGAGGAGGACCAGTAGAAGGTGGAAGACCAAGAACCTGCAGTAGGAGTGGAACGAAGTACGGTCAAGGCCGCGCAGCGACGCCAGACAAAGCATGGACAGCACCAGTACCCTCAGCAGGAGCACCCGCTCCAGCTGCACCTCCAGCAGCTCCAGAACCTCGAGCAGCACCAGGACAACTCGCAGTAGGACCGCCAGTAGTAGTCTCAGCGCCAACACCCTCAGCAGCACCAGCTCCAGCCGAACATGCAGGCCCAGCAGCTCCAGTACTCCCTGTACGAGCACCTCCGGGACCCGCGACAGCAGCACCCTCAGTAGCTGAAGAACCTCCAGTACCAGCAGCACGCCTCCAGCACCGGGCAAACCACTCGTGCAGCTCCTGTGGAGAGAGCGGCTCCCGCAGAGACGAAGCCCCCGGAGAATCTCCAGGCGGAGCACCTCCGAGCTCAGCACCCCCAAGCTCAATACCCCCAGGCACAGCACCCCCAGGCTCAGCACCCCCAGGCTCAGCACCCCCAGGCTCAGCACCCCCAGGCTCAGCACCCCCAGGCTCAGCACCTCCAGGCTCAGCACCCCCAGGCCCAGCACCTCGAGGCTCAGCACCCCCAGAGTCAGCACCCCCAGGCTCAGCACCCTCAGCAGCACCAGAGTCACCAGTGACCTCGACAGGCTCGATTGCGTCTACCTGGGACACACCTGAAGGGGAAGGACCCTGAGGGGGGAGGGGGTCTACCGGAGGGGGACCTGGTACAAGGAAGAGCGGCGGCGGGGGGAGGGACGGAGTGCGGTAGGGGAAGAGGCGGTAGTAGGGGACCGACTCGTCAAACGTGACGTCCTGGGAGGACAGACCACGGCGAGAGGTGGGGTGGTAGAACTGCCACCCAGGCGCGTCAGGGGGGAACCCCAGGAAGACGCAGGGAGCAGCACGAGGGGACAGCTTGTTCGCAGACACGTCGCTGACAAACGCCCGAGATCCCCAGACCCGGAACGCCGACGCATCGCCAACCTTCCCCGTCCACAGCAAGGCTGGGGAGGTCTCCGGCCTGGAGACCGTGGGGTGTAGGTTGATCAGATGCGCCGCG